TACAATTTTTCAAATATCACGCAGCCATAGTCTGTAGTAACAGCCACTTTGTAGACTCGTGGTGGCAAATCAGTTGCGGTTTCCTCATACATCTTTTCCACTCTCGTAGCTGTTCTCCTTTCACCAAACTTAATGGGAGCATATCTCCAGACACAATTTTTTTTGCTTTTAGTAGGCTATTTTTTTTATTTGCTCTGCTATCATCACAACGTGCGCCAACAGGTTTAGCAAATTATTTAACCATCACTTTTCCTGAGTTACTCGAATAATGATGTCACGCTAACACCTGGTACCGCAGTATTCGATTAATCTTACCCTTCCTATGCATAACTTGTAGCCTTCATAAAATCAAAACAGTGAGTTATAAAAATATGAAAGAAAAAAAAGAAACAAACCTGAAAAATGCAGTCTTCTTTTTTTATTAGGCCTGAATGATATTTAAAACAATGTGCAGTGTGGGATTACTTTGATCAATAATTTGATTTTTTTTTTAAAGTAAGTGTAGTAAATACAGAAATATTACGCATGAACTGTGAAACTGGAAAACAATCACCAACAAACACTTGTTTATTATCGCGACATCTATAGTGGGGAACTGTATAATATGGTCACTAATTACAAAGAAGTTGTCATTTTACAGTTTGTCATGTTGGTTACATGGTCATTTACCAGTTTACTATCATTTAGAAAGGTCACACAATTGTCAACATCAGCCAAATATTTACCCAGGTCTAAAGAAATATAATGCAATATGCTTAATTCGATGTCCTCAAAAACAGGACATGCAGGCCTAATTAGATGTTAAGCCGACATACTATAACTCAACAGAAAGCTTCCACGTGTGTGTGATGTGTGTGTGGCTTTTACGTAAAACTATAGAGACTATATCTTTACAATGACCCTGCAGTTCTAAGAAGCCAGAGTGTGGTCACTTAAAATAGCCCTGATAAGAACCTGATGACAGTCGCTGTCTTTACAGAACCCTGGCAGGCCTGCAGCTTTTGCACCATCACAGAAGAAGCCTTGAAATGCAATTGCAAAACTTATACATAAATCTATGATCTTAACAAGCTTCAAAATGCTCAAGTACCCAAAATACAGAGTGTGAAACAAACACACATGCACCTCACTCTACTTGTCTAGCTTGTAGCTTTATGCCAGTGACTGAAAAAGCAGCCATGTGATCTTCCCACAAACATGAAAGCCTAAGATTGATGAAAGAATCACATGACACACAGAGTTATGAAAGTACGCAGTGCAGGGAGGATGCCACTCCAATCAGGAACCTGAGACACTACGTATCAAGTAAAATACCAAGAAATAAGCATAGCTATACACAAATTTAATGTGGCATTGAACTGCGTTACGCACTATGCAAAATCATGTATTTTTCCAGAGGGAGGAGGAATGTGAGATACAGCTGACCCTGAAGTGAGCTGCAGACACAACCAAATTTGATTCAGTATGGTCTTAGGGCTGGTATCAATAAAGAAATTAAGATAGCAATTAAAGTCTGTACAAATGCCCATTTCCAACAAACCTTAACTTACAATATGTATCAAAAATGTATCAGGTAAAAGCTATTTTGGTTTTGAATTTTAAAATACAACTCAGGTGACTCCTACTAACACATACAACCACAAAGACATATTGTTTTCCTAATAACATTAAAGGTTTAAACATTCAGAAGAACTAGAATCAGTATCACCTTATTGGTAATATCTATATATCTATACTGTGCCTTTGTAAGGTTTATTTTTGCTTCGAGGACAGTGGATAGAGTCAGAAATCAGGGAAAGAGAGAGTGGGGAATGACATGTGGGAAAGGTCGTTGCCACAGTTCAGATTCAAACCGAGCTGCCTGTTTGAAGGACTATGGTCTCGGCACATGGCGCACGCACACTAGGCTACCGGTACCCTGATTGTAACTTTTTTTTTTTTTTTTTTTAACACCTCTTACTTGAACTCACTCTCAGCCAAAAATAGCTTTATTGAGTTACATGACCCCCAGGTCAACAGTCAAGGAAGTTTCCTATAGCAGGCAGAGGCCATGGGCAGCCAGTACAGGTAGTGTGGCTCTAAGTGGGGAGGACAAATCTATTGGCTGACGAACAGGCCACTGACTGGCTGCAGGATGAGCCAGGAGCTCTCAATGTAATGTACAGTATGCTGTCCCTTGTCAGGTGCTGCAGCCAGGGAAACAGGAGAGGGTCTTTAGGCTTCCATCTGGGGTCAGCCAACCTGCTGCCCTCTGAGGTATTCAGGAGGGCACAGGGATGTGCTATGAAATGGTTTGGGTGATGTATTATATAGGGCATCAGGGTAGCTAAAGTGTGAATGGCTTAAAGGGGAAAATGAACTTCATTATTAATAATGGGCCTTTTAATTTATTGGTTTGGCTTTTCTACCTTCTACTGTATCTATCCAGAGATTTAAGGTGTGTCTTTTTATTGTGCAGGTATTTTTCATTTAATTTCATTAAGGACATCATTATTTTGGGACAACCTCCCTCAGTTTTTAAGGTGATGTCTTTCAAGCCTTACTACTAGGAATGGATTGAAACATCTTCTTTGCATTTGCTGTATTACAAAATCATCAAGTGCATAATATAATGGATGCTAACTGCAGTATGACAGCCAATTAAATTAACATTCCTATCCCCTGTTAATCATTTAAATATGAAATCCAGTTCACCAGAGCTCTCCCTTTTTTTCATCATTATCCACTTTTTCTACAATTCCCACCTCTTTAATCTATTCTTTCTTTACATCTAACTGGACCATCTAAGCTTCAATTTTACAGTACATCAGATGATCTCTTCCTTATTAGAAAAAACGTCTCTCTTTTCCAAATATTCTCTCATCCAGAATCTTGTTGACTGAAACGGTGTACTGTATTCAACAATATCCTGCCATTCAAGTATTCTCTTCATCCATCAGTCCTTCCTCTTGCCTTCCTTTTTACATAGTTCTGCTCTCCCCAGAACAATTCATGCCTAATGAATGGAGAGCTCATGCACAAGGTATGAAGAGCACAGCTGACTATGAGTTAACATAAACACCTGGTTCTTGCCTACTCTCGGATTGAAGCCAGCCAACCACAAACACACACGGCTCTGAGCACCTTGATGTCCCCAGAACGTCTGCTGGCACAGACATCAGGCCAAAGGGCATAAAGCCCCACAACAAGGAGGTAAGATTTCTAGTCCATTGGTAAATAAATCCACCATTGGTGACAGCAGGCTCAGAGCAAGATTTTCCAGTGCAAGTGTGTTTAAAAAGAGCCTTTTCCCTATGGTGGCAGTCCTGACCCTGACCCAGAATGTGTGTGGGAACATACACAGGGAAACTGAATCAACTCAGGGAGCATAGAGTGTCGTACTTCTCAGGTCAATGATGTATGAATGCTCATGTAAGTTGAATTTGGCCTTTAAGTATTTCAATAGCAGGTTCTTGTACTGCCTTTACATTATGTGTTGTGCTTTACCTACCTGGACTTTCTAAACAAAAAATTTATTTTGAACAATTCTTTAAATAACCTACTTTCAATACATTTATTATACTTTGAAAACAAGCAGAAACCTCTGCTGCAGATTATTGAGATTAACCTACACTACTATCACATTTACCCTTTCACACACATAATCATATCATCACACAGGATTTTTCACGAAGTGCCAGGCTGCACATCAGGATCTCGAACCACAGTAACAAACACGCAGATGGCAATGAACTTCAGGGCGCAAATTTGGGAATCCACTACAGATCTGAGCCTTAAACAAATTTTTAAGGACACTGTTTTGATGTCAAACAGGTATAAACTAGCGCATCTCAGGATTGGTCAAAGGTTTTTCTTTTATGTTTCCCTACAATAACGAAAAATATATTCAAGAATGTTGCCTGAAGCAAAAATCTGACCATTTTGATCAATCAGGCCTGATGTGAGAGCTTAAAGGGTATTTATATAATTATTATGTCCGTATACTTTAAAAACCACCGACAGTTCACACTGTTTTGCCATTTCTATATTTGCATTTAACGGCACTCTTGTATTCATTAGTTGACATGTGGTACAAGGGAAACGTTTAACACTATACTGAATACCTATCTTGCATTTATTCAGGGCATCCCTGGTGTAAACATGACACTATATGGCGACAGACGCTTTAAACAAGCCTTCATGCAGAACATTTCAAATCGTGCATCCCCCCCAGACTACATCCTGCCTACGGGGGCTGAAGCCAAGTTTGCCGTGGACCTTTCTGTCATCGGTAGTCCACTCAAGTGATCGCATGTGGTTTCAAAACAGAGCACACAGTGTGCTCCTCTGCTGCTGGACGACACTGGCCGAAGAGGACGGTAACAGTGCGGTCACAGGGCTTGGGGGGCTGAGGGGGGGAAGCCAGCAGTACTTTATTCCAAGTTATCGTGGCTATAGCACAAGATAAGTGACAAAAAGAGTGTCACCGGTTTCCATCTGCCACGCAGGCTTATTTACTGTTAAAGAAACACAATTAAAAAAAAAAGAAGAGGGACACGAGGGAGACAAAGGAGAAAAACAGGACAATGCTTTTGCAACTTCGGAAGCGATAAAAACCGATAATTCGGGAATGAAGTGGCTGTTTTAGTAAATCACTTTAGTTGTGAACACGGCGCTTGCAGCAAATTGCTTGTGTTCAAAAGAAACTTGTGAGCTGAGGAGACGCGTGTGCAGCAGACGGGCTAACGTCTGGCTGCTAGCATTAGCATGTAAGCTAACAAGCTCACTGTCAGTGTATGTGGGGGGGGGGGCTCAACACGTATCCCATGCGTCTCTGCCTTTTTGTTAAACTACAAAACAACAGCGACTGTTTCTTACTTTGGCCTTGTGTTAAAAAAAAATCCCCGCAATAAACTGTGTCCTGCTTTCAGACACCAGTCATAAATAACATTAGCACACGCACGTACAACGTTACACACAAACTAGATTAGCGCGCACACACACACACACACAATAGCTACCTGAAAGCTGGGTCCTCTTTGCTACATCTCGAGGGCTGCGACGAAAACGCATTCCTCTTGTTGAAAAGTTTCTGGAAGAGAGTCGGAGGCATTTTGTACCAAATAAAGTCGGTACAGAAGGTCTCTTCTTTTTTCCCCCCCTCAAATCCACGAGCAAACCTTGTTCCTTGTAACCGTCTCCATGGGTGTCACAGTCATATGACAGGCATTAGTCACAGGAGCTGCTTGGTAACCCACTACATTTTTCTGATTGGCTGACAGGATGCTGCTGCTACTATAAATTACCTGATTGGCTGTTATTTTTGGCTCGGCACCACGTGGTCAGTGGATTTGCTGTGTTGATGTTTTGTCGGGAATCGTGACAGCATGAAATGTATTCACAAAAAAAAATATAAATCATACAAGTGCGTCTGCTGAGCAGCTTGCAAGACAGAAAATCCACATGAAAAATAGGTGAAGTTTGAAAGTCCAGACGACGCAACAAGATTCATTCATGTAGCCTACCTTTTTTATTATTATTATTGTAAATGTTTTCATGTTGGACACTTCTTTCTGTTGCTAAAATATTTCTAATTATTTAAAAATACACAAACTCACAAATGTAAAAAAACAAAAAAGTAACAAACAAAATAAGCTAATATTTACTCTATACATTTATCGTTAACATTTCCCTTACACTTTTCATAGCATTTACATATAACCAAAAAGACCAAACAAACAAAATCACAAATATTCACAAACAACTAATACACTTTACATTGGCCTACATGAAAATGTTTTTTTTCTATGAACAGAGAAGATAGGAAGACAATGCAGTACTGACATCTAGTGGTCATATTGCTGCAGACACCTGTTTAATAACATTTATGCTGACTAAAAAGAAACAAAGGGCTATTTTAGTTTGTAAAGTGTATGGAATAGTACATTAAACAGTTATTTTTCGGGTGCAGATGGTTTCAAAAAATACATTTTGTAACAAAAAAGCACATACACAAGTTTGTTCAAGGTTGCATGGTCAGTTACTGTGATGAGTATTCTCAGGTGTCTACATAAAGGGTAATGTGTGGAATCCTTTCAAATTAGCCTCTTAAAATAAAGAGTGAATTTAGCCTCACAATTCATTTTCCATGTCGACCTTTAAACAGTATTATACCACTGTTACACAATATTTAAACATACATACCACTTCCATTTAGATTGTGGCAGAAAGCTCAAGTCTATACACACATTATTTGGCATAAGATTTTTTGGGCTTAGCTTGAAGAGGAAATAAAGGTACACTCACGAGTCTGATAGTCCTCTCTTTCATACTTTGAAAGAATGCATCCTTCTCACTGTCATTGCCAAAGTCAAAGAACTCGGCTGTCTTAGAGCTACTTTCTGGAGGCCTTTTCAGTGACACCATCAGACCCTCTGTCTCCTCTTTGAAACTACTCTTACCTGTACTCGATGTGTCTGCATCAGGCTTATTCTTTTCAGTCAGGAATGCTGTTCCAACTGGTTCAGTGGTGTAGTGAGGGGTTAATTTGTTAGCAAGTATGTGTTTCTCTTCCAAGGTCTCAGAGATGATTGGACTTTTGAACCACACCTTCTTCTTGTACAAAATGGGCCTTCTGTTTGTTAGCTGGGGAAGCAAAATTGTATTTTGGATTCAACAATAAAAAAAAAAAACCTTTTTCAGGCTTATATTTAATAAAGAGCTATGTTATTCTTACTTTTGGTGGGGTCTTACTTTTGGAGGCTTGAGCTACAATGTGAAGGATAAAAAGCACAACAAAACAAATTAGAAAAAACATTCCTCTTAAAAAGAACGAGATTCATGATGAAAAAAGGCAGTCAAAACTGAAAATCCTTGTCACTCTGATACAGTATTAAAATCCTTTATTAAACAGAGATGTGTCTACGGATGTTTCCTGCCGTTTTTCCACCGTGAACTTTGTTTACAAATAACCTGGAAAGTCATTATTTGATTTTATTTGTATTATTATTTCTCATTATGTTTGTAACATGTATTTGAAATTCAAGTTTCATGAAAAAAAAGCTAACTTCAATGATTCATTTAAAGTAAGACTATTTGATTAAGATAGACTCAATGAGTTTTACCTGATTTAAATGGGTCTGTATGTAATTTGGTTTTAGCCTCAGCTCCACCAGGTTGGCTTCACATGGTAAACAGTGATGAAAACAGTTGTTAGAGCATGCAGCAAGACTATTACCTGGTGTTGTTTTTTTAAGACCCTCTAAAGGCCCCCAAATTCCAAGGCATCAACATTCAGGGTATTATCATGAATTGTGGGAAATTATAATGTTTTTAAGTAACTTTTCAAATAAGAAGTTCAGCTTACAAACTTACTTGATCTCACTGTTCTTTTCAGCAAGAATCAAAGAGACATCTGCAGACAAAGGGTTTGTTATTATTAGACAACTGCCAACTTAATACACTAAATATGACATGAGTTTATAAACCCTAAGTTGTGAAAAGGTTGTAAAAGGCCCAAGCAAGTTAAACAGTGTAAACAAAAACATGAAAATATGAATGTAATTGTGATTAACCTTGAGTACAAATATGAGATTCTCTTATACTATTACCGATGATGTTGGACAGGTTGGGGGGCTGGTGCATGTGAATGCTTTCAGCATGGCTCACATCCAGTAAGGTGGAGTTTTTTATGTAAGGGCGTAGACCCAGAAGATCCTCGGTAACAGGAAAAATCAATTCCTTCACTGTTAAAAGAAGAAGAAAAAAATACTAGAACAAAATAACCTTGTATTCTGATTGTGGATTATTAAAATGCACACACACCGTAGCTCTCTTTCCTGAAGATCTCTGGGGAGGGAAGGCTGCTGGAAGAAGAAGAAGCAGCAGAGGAGTAATAGTCTTCCTCATCATCACCAGAGCTGAACGTTGAGGATGACTCCAGGCCAGAGGATGTGATGCTGTCAGGAGTCACTGCCAAGTTTTCTTGAACTGGTGTTGCAATATACTTTAAAGCCACATGATCAGGTACCTTCAAATTTGATGGGTGACCTGACACTGAATTGCAGCACACAGCCTTGCTAGTCTGTGTATACAAAGCATAAACATTACAAAATTTGAGAGTTAAACAGAATAAAGGTTTTAGTAAACTATATTAAGGTAAAATGTTATATTCCAAAAAAGGCAGGGGGAGCCGTGTGATTCAGCTATTTATGCAGGAAAAATGTTGAAATCAGGGTTTACTTGTTTTAGGTTTGTTAATGCTCCCTTGCTTCAGACACTGCCCTTATTCCAGCCCACAATAAGAAAGCAGTTTTTGCAAATAAACACACTTATTATGATTCATTGTAAGCATGAAAATAGAAAGAATATACCCACCAAGGCTGGGTTAGTTGGCCTGACAGTGGGAACATTTGTCACTTCCAACTCAGGTTCCTCTCTAATTGCTTCATGATGCCTGATGGCCAGAAATTTCCTGCAATCTGAAAAGTTTTGAATGGCTAATAGGGAGACAGCTAATAAATGTGTCACATATAAACTAATTTAAAGCTTAGATAAGTTCACTGATTATATGAAAGCAAGTTTATTATGAATAACAAGTCGTTAAACATTTGTTAAACACAAGTTAATGCTAACAATCTTTAAATAAAATAGGCTTACAGTAGGCCCAGTTTATGCTCAAGTTCAATAACCATAATATATGTGTGTGTGTGTGTGTGTGTGTGTGTGTGTGTGTGTGTGTGTGTGTGTGTGTGTGTGTGTGTGTGTGTGTGTGTGTGTGTGTGTGTGTGTGTGTGTGCAGTTGCGCAGTTGCGCAGTTGCATGAATTGGTATTTCTTACCGTATCTCTTTGTCAATGCTGGTTTCACAGGTGTATCTCGTTTGTTGGGGAATCCACTGTCACGACTGCGTTTTACTCGGTACTTGTATCGAGCCATTTCTGACCTATTGAAGTTAATGTATAAATTTCGGTCAATGGACGTTTAATAGTTTTAAACAGACGCTTTCCAAACGTTGAAAGGACTGTTGAGAGCATATGAGTTATATTAAAGCAGATCATACTAAGAGAGTTGGGGCTAAAAACCTGTCAGGATGCTTAAAATACATGATAACTTCGGTCTCTTCCGGTCTCTGTGCGGTGCTTGGCAACCGAACACAGCTGCAGTTAATCTGACAATCAGCTGTTAGTGACGATTATATGGAAACCCAACTGAGTTTAAAAAAGATAAGTTATCCTTGTGAATGAACAAGGATTAATTCATCATTAATTCATTAATTGCAACAAAAATGTTAGTTGCAATTAACAGATAAAAATAATACTCATAATTCTTAGGTAGGCTATGTGACATAAACTCATTACTGTGACGAAAATCACAAAACTATGAGAAATAAATACAATTCTGCTTCAAATCGAGAGTTGACTTTTAGATAGACATAGGCCTACACATAAGATTTTCTCACTGATCAGTCTTATTGTCATAATTTCAACTTTTCCTGCTCGTAATGTTCCCTTTTGTGTCAAAATTTGATTTTTCATGCCATCAGTCTATAATGACTTTCTGGTTCCTAATTTCAATTATTTTTTTCTAATTGTTGAAAACTTTATCTTATAATTTTGATACTAATACTATAATACTGATGAGTCTCTGCTCATCAGTATGACTTTGAATAATGATGTTATCTGGGTTATTTTCATAATCGTGGCATATTTTCAGCCTGTTTTAAATTATTGTACTGACAGAAATGGGCTTCCTCACAATTTAAATCTCTGATACTTCTATCATTACATTCTTTCAGATACGTGCACTGTTTTTTTACATACCTGTGTCAAAGAAATGCTGGGACTTTCAGGAAAGCCTGAAATAAAACCTGTTTTCAAACACCATTGAATACATCATGAAAAAAGGACAGAGACACATGTTTAAAATCATTCCAGAATATCTTTTATTTCAACGCCCGTGTCCATATTACCCACCCTCCCTCATCCCTATTGCTGCACTCAATCATTACAAGGATATGGTGCTGATTCCATTTTACAGCAGAATAGATAAATAAATAGGTACAATTCATCTCACTACACGCAAAAAGAGAGAAAAGAAATCCATTCAAACCACTGATTTAATAAATATGCTTACATCTAGCTGTCCTCATTTATGTACATCCACATTGTTTATGCTTTGGGACGGTAATCAACTTAAAAAGCCTATACATTACCTCTACGTGTAAACCCTCAAAAAACGTTTTTCATTTGTTTTAAAAGTTGATCGTTGTTCAGTTTTCCTTCAGTTAGTGAAATCCATCAGCTTTGCCTACATTACAAAGCCTTGCACTAGCAGCAGTAGCTGTGGGTAGCTGCATACATCCTGCTTTTAATGGCCAAAAAAATATCTGTATTTTTCAAGTCAGATACAATCGGTCCAAGCATTACAGGGCAAACTGCATGCATTGCCCTGAGCCCTGGTTTTGCATTATATTTTTTTCTTTTACCTGACATACTATTGTGCAAAGATGAAAGTAAAGAAAGTTGTGATTGAACCAACCGCAAAATGTGATCTCTAATTTTTGTTACAGTACGGCCATTCCTCCATATAAACAAGGAGCATGCATGCTTAACTGCTGATTGTAGCCACGTAGAGATCACTTCATGAATGAGTAAATGCATGGCGTTTAGTGATGTGGCCCAAACATTCAGATGCTCCACATGGAACAGAGTGGACAGCAGTGTTTTGTAAGGCAGGAGCTGCTACTCTCTCTACCTTATTGGCTTATTTAGACCTCAAACAGGAGGATGTGTTGTTGGTCTAAATACCCAATGTCTGGGTTAAACACAAGTTTAATAACCATTTAATGTTCAATAAAATAAAAAATAAACTGTGTGCGACTGAAGTTAAGTCCGTTTTCCACAAGGTGTCAGCATTATCACAGCTCTAGATTTTTCCTTGAGCTACACTATAAACAAAGACATCACGCTTGCTGTCGTAAAACTGGATAAACGTTAAGTTTGGCTGGTGGGTTTGAACTGATAGAGGAGAGAAGAGAAGCAGATTGAGGGTGCTGATGAGTTTCTAGTGCTGGGGAAAGAGCATTTGAAGGTTTGTTTCGGTGGAAAATCAGGAAGCAATAGAAATACCAGAATTAAAATAAATAACAAAAAAAGTGAAAAACAACATACATTATATGATGTATTTCCCTTCTTTTGTATGGACTCAGTGTGTGATAATTACATGAAAAACAGATGTCAAAAGGACAAATACTTGCTTGTTTCCTAAACAAACACATGTTTTTCATTGTGATGAACTTTTCCATGCCACATTAAATCAAATGATGACAGAAAACCAAGTGAAGAGGTGTATTGCACATTGGTGTTGTCTAATGGAAAGTAGTTACATCTTCTGTGCTAAACAAACACTTTAGACTGCTTTGTCACCTGTCAATGTAATAATGAAAAATAATCATTTATCCAATCACGAGACAGGGGTTGGGTCAACTGAGAATTAATCGATGCTGGCATTAGACTAAAGGATTCATTTTGCCATTGAACCTAACTGCTATTGTTTAAATCAAAAACTGAAGCACTTTTTTGACAAATCTGTAAAAAACTAACAGACTCAATAAGATATTTACATTTTGTTTTTACCCCTTTTGTTTCAATAATAAAAAAGCCAGAGACCATTGAACAGTCAGTAGATGTTAATATGTAATCTGTAAAAATCTTGCACACTTTCAAGCAATTCAAGTTGTCCACCTTGCATTCATCAGTTTTTACAGTAAAGTAACATAAGTTAACCATATATTAACCATACTTAAGTTCCCTCTGAGTATAAACATTGTTAGGAATGTTAAGCCCAGTCTTCTTTCCAATTCTCAAAGCTTTGATTGGACAAATGATTGTTTTTCATCTTGGCGCTGAAAGTGTCACATATTGCACCTCCTCTGCTTCAAACTGACAGAGCTTTGTATTTTGTTCTGTTAGAGCTTTGCTGCCCTCTGCTGTACAACACTGGAATGTGATTGCAAATACAGACTAAAAGCTCAATCATGTCCATTTTAACATATGCATTAATGTAATTATGACACAGTGAATGCATACATGAAAAGGCTATCCACATAACAATGTGTCAACTATTTCACCTTAAATATTTGATTTGATTTGATTTATGCATTTTTAATCATTTATAGTAGGGCCAGATTCGGCTTTCTTTCCCAAAGCATTTTACTTCTAAGGTGTCACATCTTTGCCCTGCGGCAGCAGATCTTAGTGTGAGGATGCTAGAATGAAAATAAATTCTGCCAGGATTCACATGGAGATGCTGCTGTAGAGTTGTTCAATCTTCCCCTTGAAGAACTCCTTCAGCTCCGGCCTCTTTGCCTTTAGTGTCGGAGTAAGGAGGCCGTTTTCAATGGAGAACATGTCATTGTGGATGTAGATGTTCTTCACCTTAAGAAAAGAAAAAAGAATGGAAGAATAGAACAGATATTGGATGAAACCAATCTTTTAAAGATTTTCTCTAACTTTTGTGCAAACTTATTTGGTTTGATAAAACTATAAAGGAGTTACAGTGCAAGTATGTTTGCTCAGACTTTGATAATCTAAAAGAATTACTTAATGTAAAAAACTTTCTTTAGTTGGCTGGTATCAGCTTCATTTCTTTCTAATGTCATAAGAAAATATTTTCTAAACCCAAACGTCTTTAACAACACCTTCTTTCAAATTCATTATGATATTATTTACAGTCTAAAGTACTATCAAAGATCATTTATACACAGATTTAAATTACTAATGTGTGAAAATGCCATTACTTAAGGACAACAGAGAGATTAAACAACACATCAAAAACAGACTTCAAGGTTTTGCTACAACATTAACAGTTTTTCTTCTTTAAGGACAACGTTATGACGAACATTATCCCAAAGAAAACACAAAATGCACACTAAGAAAGGCTATATTCTGTTTTTGCTCGATGTCAAACATGTAACTTCCTTCCGACCTGCTCAAAAGAGTGGAGGCCACTGGCCTTTCCCAGGTGCACCAAATCCTCAAGGATTGCCTTCTTCAATTCCTGTTTACAAAGAAAGTAAGTTATCTTCCATAAAACTCTTCTCTTGTTAAAGTGTCTTTTGCTAACAGTGTTCTGCGCGTTCGAGCCGTGTGCCACCTACCGTGTTTTTACAGAGGTCTTTGTAGGTGCCTAATATGCCTTTTTTCTTGGCCCATTCAGGCATAACTTCAGGGTCAGGAACAACAATCCCCACCAGACATGACTGGAGAGAAAAAAAACACAACATGGAAAGAGTTTAATAATTTCTAGCTAATCCTCAGCTAGAGGATCATATCTTTAATTTATTAGAATGACAGTATATATACAGTAATGGGCTTCTGAAGGACATTTTAATGGGGGGTGTGTGCATAAACGTTCTCACCTGCAGGCTGTCACCATGAACATAGAGCTGTGCCACAGGCTGACTCCTAATATAGATGTTCTCGATCTTCTCAGGGGAGATGTACTCGCCCTGTGCTAACTTGAAGATGTGCTTCTTCCTGTCAATGATCTTCAGTGTGCCATTCTACAGGACAGGGGAAACAGGAAGAAAAATGTGAAAACCTCGCTTTAGTCAGAGCATAAGTCCTGTAATATTATACTGAGCTATCAAGCCTCAATAGTGGAGTGGACGTACAGGTAACCATTTTCCGATGTCTCCGGTGTGAAGCCAGCCCTCTGGATCCAGCGTCTCGGCTGTCCTCTCTGGGTCTTTGAGGTAGCCTTTAAACACGTTTGATCCCTTTACACAAACCTGGAAGAGAAGGAGAGGAGAGTCAACGATAAACACTGTATGTCTGGTGCAAATGTTTGTGCAAACTAGGGTCTTCTCTCTAAGGTTTGAAAAGTTAATACCTGTAATTAGAAACGTTCTAAACTTATGTGACACTTTTATTCTCTAGATTTTTAAGCATTTATTGCTTTTTAAATGGCCAAAGAACTTATATTTGTTAGTGGTAATGAAGTGTCCTCATATTGCATGTCAGCAGTCCTGCTTCTGTGTCACACTTTTAATATCATGAACTTGTTTCTGCATCTTGGCATTTTAATACAATCTAGCCAAAGTTGCATTCTAAAGATGTTAAAGTTAGCTCGCTGATATACGTATGTGATG